CCCTAAAAAAAAAAAAATTAAGAAGAAGAGGACAAAAAGGTGAAGAGAAGATGAATTCTCTGCCTTTCTACTTGAGCTGAGACAAACATCTTATTCTGCCCTTGGATGTTGGAATTCTTTTGGGGGCCTTTTCACTCATATTTGATTATGCCACTGCTTTATCTGGTTCTCCAGCTTCAGACAGCATATTTTGAAACGTCTCAGTGTTCTATAAGCAAGTGAGTCCGTTTCCATAATAAATCTCACCAGAGTTTCTCTGGTGTGCTCTGACTAACATTGGTTATGTCTGATCAGTTGAAGGCCTTAATAGAAAAATATTGACCTACTCAGAAGGAGCAGGAATTCTGTCGGCAGATTGTCTTCCACCCTGAACAGTCACTCTTCCTGTGTCTCTAGCCTATTGGTCCACTCTGCAGACTTCAGACTTGCCCTTCCACAATCATGTAAGTCAATTCCTTAAATTAAATCTCTCTATATATGCCCCATTGTTCTGTTTCTTTGGTGAACCTTGACTAATACAAAAGTTTAAATTAGTAATTCTATTTCTGAAAACTTACTGTGCAGAAATGATCAAAGTTATTAAAAAAAAATTAAATGAGGATGCTGGTCTTCCTAGTGTTAATAATGCTACCTGAATTGTAATGGCCTTTAATTATAAGTGGGGCCTTATGAATAAATACCAATATAATTGTCCAAGTCTTCTCCTTATTTTTTCAACAGACTCTCCTTCCAATCTCCTTACTCTTCAAAACAACAATAAAACAAAAACAAAACAAACAGATAAACAAAAACTACTCCTGGCCCATATATTTCTAGAAGTCCCTGGATTTAGAAGTTTTAAGATATGCCCTCAAGTTCTTCACTTCAAAATGTGGAGTATAATTCCCTTTCCCTTAAATGTGGGCTACACTTAGTGATTCACTTCTAAGTAATAGATTACAACTAAAGTGAGGGTGTCTGACATCTGACAGTAGGACATAGAAGGCATTGTGGCTTCTTCCTTGCTCCCTCCCTCTCTGTTTATCTGGTCTGGAGAAAGCCAGCTGTCCTCACAGCACATGGAGAGGTGCAAATACTGAGGAACTGAAAACTCTGGTCAACAGCCCTGTGAGGGCACATTTCAGAGTTGTACTCACCAGCTGTGCTTCAGTCTTCAGATCACTGCGGCCCTTGCTCACATCTGCAACCTCATGAGAGAACCTTCTCATGTTTATAGACACATATCATTGGCCATCACCTTCCACCTTCCAACTATTACTTTTTGCAGTGATTCCATAAAATCTTTCAGGCACTGTTACCATTTTTGGGTGTGTTTTTCCCTTCAACTGGTATCACTATCACCAGTACACTAACAACATTTCCTGTCAGTTACTGCAGTATCTCTCGTTCTTCGGTGCTTATGGAGGTGGCAAATAAGAAAAATACTGGGGTGGGAGGCTCTGGACTCTAGAAGACCTGTCTGTGTCTTTGCTTTGCCACTTGACCATGGGCCTCTTTAATTCTCAGCTTTCTCCTCTGTAAAATGGTATTATTAATCATACCCACCATATAGCATTGGCATGATTGAACCAGGGAATGCATATACATTACTTAACACAATCCCTAACTATAAACAAATAGTCATAGGGAATCAGCTGAAGTGGATTCAGATTCCTACTCTATCACACCAGTTGGAGTGGATTCAAATCCCTACTCTGTCACATACCTTGAGCAATTATGTGTCTATGTGTCAGTTCCTCATCTGTGAAATAATGGTAATAACAGTATCTAAGTAGTTAAAAGGTCATTTCTGGGCTCTGAGGGAAGAATTACAACCTTAGAGCAAGTAGACAGGTGCAGTTTAAGTTATACATGCACATTTTTATTTTCCATTTATTAAGCCAGAAAAAGAAAACAAAAATCGGTAAAACCCCTAAGCGTCACTCTAATAAAGCAATCAATGCATTTTGTACCATGAGTACTTTGCACAGGGAGTTTGTCCTATTTAAAATTTATTCACAGTAAACATCAGTCTTAGAGAAGGCTGGAACCTCTTTTTTTGCAACCGCCAAGTTGTGCAGAGGCAGAAGCTCGGGTGCATTCGAGATTCAGCTCCACCTGTAATCCACCGCCATGGCCAAGGAAGGCATTGCTCCTGCAATGGACGTTAATACAGGCTTACAAGAGGTGCTGAAGACCACTCTCATCCACGAAGGCCTAGCACGTGGAATTCGCGAAGCTTCCAAAGCCTTAAGCGCCAAGTCCACCTGCATGACCTTGCTTCCAACTGTGATGAACCTATGTATGCCAAGTTGGTGGAGCCGAGCACCAAATCAACTTGCTTAAGGTTGATGACAAGAAGAAACTAGGAGAATGGGTAGGCCTCTGTAAATTGACAGAGAGGGAAAACCCCATAAAGTGGTTGGTTGTAGCTGTGTAGTATTTAAGGACTATGGCAAGGAATATCAGGCCAGGGACATCATTTAAATGTACTTCAAGTGCAAAAAAATGAAAACATAATAAAAATCGGCTCCAGATCCTCAAAAGAAAAAAAAAAAAAAAAAAGAAAGAAAGAAAGAAAGAAAAGAAGAGGCTGGAACTGATTCCATCACACGTCAGGGTAGGGAAATTACTATCTGTCTGAAGGCTCCAGCTCCTCCCCCTGCAACCAGTGCCAGCTCTTTTAAGCCAGCGCCTGAGTCATCCTGCTCGCTCAGAACAGTTTGGACACCCACCATGGCCACCTTTGTGGAGCTCAGGACCAAAGCCAAGATGCCCATCGTGGGCCTGGGCACCTGGAAGGTAAATATGCAAGTCTTTGGGCACCTGCTTCTCTCCAGGGACTTATGGGGCTTTCCTCTTCTCTGCATTCAGTCTGGAAAGTTCTGAGGTTTAGCAAGCATTTGGAGAAATACTCAGCCTCCGAAGTTGCTTTCCTTTTTCAGGGCTGATTCAAGCTCAAAGCTCCAAGAATAGTTTTGTTTTCCAGCAGGGATGAGCTCTTTGTCTAGCAGGTATCAAATAACAAGCAGATTTTGGACTTAAAAAAAAAATGAGGGACCAGCAGTTAGCATAATGGCTATGTCACTGGACTCCCATGTAGTCAACAGCAGTTCGCGTCCCGGACCCGGTGGCTTAAACTCACGCCAGGCACATGTGTGTGCGTGCCCAAGATCCCGAGAGGAGAACGGAGGAAAAGGGATTGTGGCGTGGCCATCCCCACTGGGGAGTGATTTCTCACTTTCTGTCTCTCTGTGTCTCTCTGTCTGGTGAGCACAAGCGCCTGATAGCAAAAACTCTAAAAAAAATAAAAAAATAAAAATGATAGCTTTGCAGGCAGTCCCTTGCCTAGCAGCCATCGCCTCTAAAACTTTCCCTGTCTCTAGGAAGCTTAAAGGAGCTGAACATTTTTAATGTCTTTGCCTTGTATTTGCTGCCTGTTGCTGAGTGGGTGAGAGGAGGAGCTATAGATCTCTGAAGGCTCTTTGCTCCCTTTGCTGCTCCCAGTGTGGAACTTGGACTGGCAGGATCAGAATGTCTCTAGGGCTTAGCCGACCACGGTTCTAGTCCTGGACCCATAGCTTAAACTCACTCTGGGCGCGCGTGCACGCAATGCTCAAGATTCTGACAGGAGAATGGAGACGAGACATGGCCATCTCTCCTGGGGGGTGATTTCTTGCTTTCTGTCTCTCTGTCTCATTCTGTCTTTGTGGTGAGCACATGGGCCCTAGAGCAAAAACCTCTCAAAGAAAAGAAAAAAAGAAATGTATAGCCTTCAGCTCCACTCAAAGCTACTGAATCAGCATCTGCACATAAATGAGATTCCTGTGCACATTAAATCTGAGATGTGCTGTGATCACAGAGAGCCTGGGCTGAGAGTCAGGAGCTCAGGTTCTGCCAGGCTGTGCTAATGTCCTGGCAAAAACGAGGTAAGGCCCTCTCCAGGGCTCAGCACGGCAGACTTGTGAGCCTCTCTTGGGCTAAGTGTGACGTTGTCCCATCCTCTGTGAATCTGCCCTTTCCATTTCCATCACTGAGAGCACTGGCCCAACTAGCCACCTGCAGCCATCTTTGCATACCTTATTCTCTCTTTTCCCTCATGGCTAATTTCTCGGTTGAGCCTTCTTCCTCTGACTCTTTTTCCTTCTTTGCACCCCTCCTTCCCCATCTCCCTCTCCTGGATTGCAGGGCGAGGAGGGAATGCCTCTTAGTGTCAGCACTGGGTCTCCCTCAGGGTGCATTCTTGGTCAATTTGTGTGAGCAGATCTAGGCCAGCTTAATTATTCAGTTCCAGCCTCTCTCGCTTGAACAGCAATATTTGTCCCTATTCAGAGTTTCAATCTTACATGAATATGGTAAATAATAGCTTTGGGATCGGGAATTTGTTTATACTATAAGAACTTTACCAGAAATTAATCTTAAAAATTACAGAGTTAAATACAAGGGTCATTTCAAGATGTGGGAATGATAGAGAGGTTTTCGCTATAGGAACCGTGTCCCACTACATGGGAGCCCAGCGACTTAGCCATTACGCTAACTGCTGGTCCCCAAATTTTAAAAATTCTTTGTTTATTTATTAAATAATTATTTAATTTAATTTTATTTATTCATTTATTTTCATTTGACTGGAGACAGACAGACAGACAGACAGAGAAAGTGAGAATCAAGGAAGCCAACAGGTTTGGGACTCGAACCATGGCCAGCCATGTCGGAGTGTCCAGCACCTTAACCACCATACCACCTGCTGGTCCTAAGATTTCTTTTTTCAAACGAAAATTTTGAGTAGATTAATCTTCTTGTGAAAAATCCACCCAATCACCACAGATAGTCATTACAGAATGCTTACTCTTTCGACATTTTGTCCGCACCAATATTGGCCTTCGCAGTCCCCCAACTTTCTTCATTTTGTTCTTATGTTCCTTTTGCTGCTTTCTTTACATCTTTTTCTTCTTATACAGGCCATGTGTCGTCTATGTTTGAATTCAGTTTTCTTTGCATAATCCAAAGAAGTGTAAATCATGCCAAAGCCAGTTGTCTGGCCACCACCAAAATGGGTTCTGAACTCAAACACAAAGATGACATCTGGCGTTGTCTTGTACATCTTCACTAGTTTTTCCTGAATTTCTGTCTTAGGTACTGTTGCCTTTCTGGGGTGAAAGACATCAGTGATCATTTGTTTCCTTTGAAATAGTTGATTAGTCATGAATTTCTTGGTATGAATGTTTATTGTGTCATTCATGATGGTGGTATTTCCTCAGAAAGCCAGGGAGAAAAAGCTTGAAAGAGATTAATTTTAAGTATCTTATAAAAATTAATTGGCTTGGACAGGTTAGTGCAGAATGAGATGTTTTCAATGCCCTTTTTCCTTTCCTCCCTTTTTCCCTCCCTCCCTTCTTGTCCTTGTGCATTGAAAAGAAGCTCCCTTCTTACTAGTTGTTCTATTTCTCCCTTTTCTGAAACAGTAACTATATAATAGGTCGCATCTACTGAGCCTTACACTGTGCTGAGTGATTTGCTAAAAACTCTCATTGTGCTGTGTACTCCACACAACCACCTCCCAAGGCAGATGTTATCATTATTCCCAGGTTACAGGCAAGGTCAGAAAGTTGGTCATCTGCTCAGGTCTCCACAGTTAGTATATGGTGGAGCCTGGGCTTGGCTGTGGCGTTCATTTTCGAGAACTGTATCACCCTTGGGGAACTTGTCTGAAAATTCCTCTGGGTTATTTCAGTGTCCAGTTTTCAGCTTGTTCTTTACAAAGTTGCATTGTAAGCCATCCATGACTCCTGCCCAAATGGAGACATTTCAAGATCCGTCTGGATTAGAGGGGAACTGTCTCATCACTAGGACAGGACATGGGGCCACACTCATAAAACCAATTCAAGGTACATTTCCCTCCCAGGCATCCCCTGGTAAATAGCACCCAAATAAAGCTTTAGTTTGGACAAGACAGACCCACAGGAGAGCCTGTTGGAGTTGGTTTGCAGGTCAGATTATATGTTGGTCTTTTCTTTTGCTTTTTAGTCTTCCCCAGGCCAAGTCAAAGAAGCTGTGAAGGTGGCCATTGATGCTGGGTACCGCCATATCGACTGTGCCTATTTCTATGAGAATGAGAATGAGGTAGGCGATGCCATCCAAGAGAAAATCAAGGAGAAGGTTGTGAAGCGGGAGGACCTTTTCATCGTTAGCAAGGTACACAGGATTCCTTTATTGGATGACTTAACTTCAAGGCAGGAGGAAGAATTTGGTTAACACCAAGAATTCTGTGAGTCTTTCCTATGTGAACTTATTTCCCCCAACACCCTTTATAATATCCATGATTATAAGTATAATCCACTCCAGACCGGTATTGGTGTCTGACGATGCTGCCACCCCACTTACCTTTGAATTGACTTCTCCATAGTGCAGATGGCTCCACTGAGCCTCATGGTGTTCTGGACCTCTCTGTTCCCTGCCAGTGGGATCCATCTGTCCAGCAGTAGTCAGAGGCTAAGGTGCACACAGGGATGGATCTTAATGGTCACCTTTAACACTGTGGTCTCCATGATTATGGCCCTGAGGTTCTTAGGGTTATTTTGGAAAATGGTGGGAGCATTTTTTATGGACACATAGAAATTCCTTTTTATTTTAGTAGAGTAAAAAGAAAAAATAAAATATCATTAAAAACAGGGGAGGTGTTATGTGTGAAGGGGTCACAATCACTAGATCTGAATTATACAGAACTTGCTAAAAACACTAGTGACAGGTACTTGGAAAGTGCATGCATTTGTTAGGACAAAGAGCCCCATCATGTACAGTGGCCAAGTCTGGATAAATGCCTTATCAACTCTCTCTCTCTTGGAGAGAAAAGAGCATCTGCTCCAAACATAAGAATCCCTACAATTTAAGAACTAGACACCATCTCTGCCCTCAGAAAGCAGACAGCAGACTAAGAGAAAAAGCCTGGTAAAATATTTGATCAGGGACTACATTAGCTGGCCAATATGAGACATATAGGATTGTAAAGTTGAAAAAATAAATTTCCTTCCACACTTAATGGAATATTAAAGACTTGCTGAGCCCTGGGGATTATGTATCTTAATCTTAACCAAGTTTTATAAACAGCCTGCCCCCAGGTTAGATGAAGTACAAATAGTGAGCAAGGATAATGAATACGATGAGATCCTTTCTTTCCCCAGTGTGACTCCTCATTGCTATTCTCTTTGCAGTTGTGGCCCACCTTTTTCGAGAGACCCTTAGTGAAAACGGCCTGTCAGAAGACTCTCAAGGATCTGAAACTGGACTATTTGGACATCTATCTTATTCACTGGCCACAGGGTCTACAGGTTGGAGTTGTCCCTGCCCTAGTCTCCCGTTTCTGAGAAGCTAGCAGAAAATAGAAGCTGTACCAGGGCTGGGAGGAGGGGTGGGCTGAAACAGGAGCTCTGGTACTTCATAGTTGTGACCTGCAGGTCATCATGAGGAGACAATGGAGCAGAAAGGCTTTGGGCTGAATGACAGGCTGAGGCCACAAGTAGCTGCTGCAGTGGCCATGGTACCCAGGTATTCCTGCAGTGATGCCTGAGATAAACCATGATTTCAAGTAGCCCAGAGATCTGACAACTGTCATATCTCCTTTGTCTTGTTTCCATGCCCTTGGTGAATTCTTGCAAAACAGCCCTTCAGGGCCCAATCCTTGTATTCACCAAAGCACATCCTGGGACTTGCATCTTCAAGAGGAGTCTAAGTATGGTGACGTTGTAGGGTAGCCAATTCTCTTTAAAGAAACAACAGTCATCACCCGAGGTCTGTTCCTGCTCACTCTGGAGAGGTGGGAGGGACACAAATTCCCAGTTCTCTTCCCTTGTGACCAGCTTGGGTGATGATGGCATGACATTTTTAACTTTAAGCTTCCAGAGGTTGCTGGACAGACATTGGCCAATATCTTTCTTAGAAAACCACATCCTTGAGATGTAAGCCTTGTCAAGCATCTGGAAATCAATGTTTGCCCTCAAGCATCTATGGGGGTCTAGGTACATGAAATTAGTGTCCATGGTGGTCATGATGGCTTCCTGGAATGTGCTAATGATGATTTTTAAAACCAATGGAGCAGTTTCTAAAATATGAAGATTTATATTCCACAGTAGATTAATATGGAGAGTTTATTTAAACTCACATTCTTGAAGTGTATACTCTGGAGCATAAGGAGAAACAGCATGCGGATGTGAGTATTTAGTGTGAGCCAGGATCCTGAAGTTTCTTTATTAGGACAAGCTGGCAAATGCAAATTCCAGTAAACTTTTTGTTTTGCATTCCCAGCCCAGTAAGGACTTTTTCCCTAAAGATGATAAAGGCAATATCCTCACCAGCAAAGCAACATTCTTGGATGCCTGGGAGGTAGGTTCCTGCTTCTTCTAAGTGTGCTGGGAGGGAAACCTTTCCTTCATTCATGTGCGAAACTCCGTGCTGGTATGAAAGTGCCCACATCTTGAGGCTGTTCAATTTCATCATTGTTATCTGTTCTTCCAACTCCTTCCTCATGATCTGTCCTCTTGGGTCTGACTGATGCTTTTTACATTTTCAAGGCTAAAACTGAGTCCTCAAGTGAACCTGGAAATATATTGTACCCCAACTTGGGAGCTATACATACTGTCTCAACCCAGAGGTTAGGATTTGGAACAGGGGTTTTGGTCTGAGTTTCCACATATTAGCCGAGTTAACTGTGGTAGGTTATTTCATTTCTCTAGGCCTCAGTTGACTCATTAAAAATATCATAAAATACAGATTAATAAGACATATCTTTCAGGATATGGTAAACATTAGGACAGCTAACATGCCAGGAACTATGTCTTAGAGCTTATTTAATCATTCCCCTCTATGAGGCACCTACTATTGTTATCTTATCTGCTAATGATAAAACTGAGAGCCAGATAGGTGGTCTGTTTCCCTGGTTCCATAGCAAGTGGATGGCATAGCCTGGGTTGGATTGAAGTCCATTTGACTCACAAGTACCACCACCAAAGTCTTTAGCACCTTGCTTGGCATATGGTGAATATATACCCAAAGATTAAGTATCCTGCTTTTCAGATCAAATAAAGACTTGTGATTTGTGAGGTCTCTGCTCTGCTGGAGTGTAGGTCTACGAGCTGGAGCTAGAAAAAGATGCGAGGTACTTTTGAGACTGATTGCATGCTGCATTTAATAAGCTCACAGAGCTGCCATCTACAGATGTACTTTCTTTTATAAAGGAGGCCTGAAGGATAGAGGCTTCGTGCCAAAAGCAAATCCGTGTAATAGGTGTATGCGTGTTACAGAAATGCAAAGTCATGGTTATGCAGCAGATTCACAAGAGCTCTATTACTAGTTCTTCCCATGGACTTCCAACTAGATAAGGTTTCCAAGTGAGATAAACAGAAAGTAAGGGAGCTAGACCATCCTGATTCCATTTGCAACACAACTTGTCTCACAGAATTCATAAATATTGACTTAAGGGTGTTTCTTTGATAATTTTCCCCAACCTTCATATCCTTTTGCAAAGTTGCTAGACAACAAAATGAATGAACTAGTTGTAAATGAATAGTGACAGAAAGACTCCAACAGTTAATAATGTTATGTTGTCATTTGTTTGTGTGGGGGCACATGTAGTTGTGAGTTTATATTGTGTTTTACAGCTTGATGTATTAATTATTAAGCCTAACTTTGCTGGAAAGCTTAGAAATGATATGGTTCTAACTTTTCTGTAGATTGTTCACAAGTGTTTATCCACAAGCACATCATTCTTGCTGCTTTCAGCTTTAACAAGTAGCAGAAAGAACATTTAGATAGCAAAACTGATATGATAATGAGAGTAGTGGACAATGAAGCAGAAAAATAATGATCTCCTAATGGCAGTTTTGTAAATGCATTTGAAAAAATTATTGTTGGCCAGTAAATTATTGAATTTGTCTACTGGCAGTCAAAAGCCTATGAAAAGGAAGTATAGAGAAAACTATCTGTATTTCTATGGATGAGTCTTGAAGGCAGAACGGAAGCCCTCTGAGTTGTAAGTATTGGGTCATGAGCAAGGTCATGGCTCATTTTTGCATAGAAAAACAGAAAATTACATCATGACTTTGCTTTTAAAGAAAAGATGCAGAATTGATGATATGATGAGTAATATAATGGTTTATATGTCTGAGACTCAACTCAATGACTGTTTCATTACTGGCAATTAAAATTGTGCCAAGACTCACATGATAGAATTTCAGTACTCATCTTTACATTAAATTTGATAAAGGGACTCTGTCATGTATCTTACCTTAGTAAAACATGACCTCCCAACTATCTCAGGAATTATTAATTGTGAGATGTGAAACCTAGCATAAATCTAATGTAAGTTCCTCAACATTTTTTGCCCTAGCCTCATGATGATAGTGTCATTGTCCTTTGCAAAAAGAACTGTATTTCCACACAATGCTATCCTTGAATTATTATAGGAATGATGGCTAAATAAAACATATTAAAGGCGTAAAAAGGTACCAATGATCAAGGCCGGAGAATCTGATCTGAGACAGGCAGCCCTGAATATGTAAGCAGTGCACGTTTAAGGGACTCACACGGCCGGACTGAAAACTCATTGACCACCCTGAAGAAGAGGGGAAGGGGAAAAAGTCAAGAAGTATACAAACTACATCTGACCTTGACACACAGAGAATTTACATTATCCCACTGCCCATCTGAGTTGTAGGGATCTTGTGAGCTCATCCATTCTAAAGTCTGCACCAGTTCGAACCTCTTCATCATCAAGCTAGACGATTCTCAGCTTTAGCTATTGATTAAAACCTGAGAAGTTTACAATCCCGGTACCTAGGCTACCTCCCAGATGAATTTAGGAAGAAGCCCTGAGGGTGCATCTCGGCATCTGAATGTTCCAAAGCTCTCATGTAATTTCAAATTACAGCCAAAGTTGAGGATAATTGGATCAAGTGTCCCCTGTACATCTCATGCCTGTCCCTATGTCCTGCCTTCTTTGTCTTCCTGCTCTTATATTTCCCTCTTTTTCCCTCCAAGTTATTTTCTGAAGCCTAGTTTGAACTTCACCTGTAAAGTCTTCCCTGACGACTTCGATGTAGGCTCATGCCTGTCTTTTGTGTCCTCCCTGGTTCTCCGTGCTACACGACTGTCACATTATCTGTAGCAGCCTCAGGGTTGTGGCTGATTGCTCCACAGAAGGGAATCCTGACATTTTAATTGACCTACGAGAATCTCAGAAGCAAGAAGCCCACTCTATACTTCTATGTCCTGTCACCCTCTGGACAAGCTCTGGTAGTATAATAAATAGGTAATAAATCATATTCAATTTGAAGCTGTCACTAACACATATGGTATCTTTGTATGAATTCAGCAAATGCTGATTATAGGGTAAAAATGTAAAAACATACCCTTCCTTGGGGTCAACTCAGTTTCTGCACTAGGGAGCGTGGCTGGGTCAGTGGCTAGCGAGCTGGATTTCACCCACACATCTTGGCTGGGTGTCCCCACCAGGGCACAGTCAGCATAACCTCCTTGAGTACAAGGCAGATTGTGGTTCCTGTGGGAGGGATGACCCAGAATCAGACCAGTGATGGTGCTCCACGTGGTGCACTTTCTGTCCCGCTAGCCCAGGACCGGGTGAAGCAAGAGTGACCAGCACATGAAACCTTCTCCTTTTACTCTTAGTTTCATTTAGGCTGGGGAGTGCAATAGAGCTAGAGCTGATTTCGGTGGACACCTAGGGCCTGGATTTAATTTCCTTTTCTTTTCTCTCTTTTTTTCCCTTTCCTTTCCTTTTATTCTTTTTCTTCTGTTTTTTTTTTTCCCTCTTTTCTTTCTTTTTTCCTTTCCGCTTCTCTTTCTTTTTGATCTTTCTTTTCTTTACTTTTTATTTTAAGTTGCCAGTCAGTGTGTACATTTGCCAGAGAAAGATGGAGAAACAAAGAGAAGACTCAGAGGGAAAAAGCATTCCGCCAGTGGGGTATGGTCACATTATAAGCCCTTTCCTCCATTTTCCCATCTGACAGTATTTTGGGCATGCATCCATACACACCCAGTGTGTTTTTCAAGTCACAGAGTCCAGGATTCAAACCACAATTGGCCATGGAGAATCCAGCTACCTTATACAGCAGGCTATGGGACAGGCCTGATAATTCCTTTAATACTTCAGCTAATTCTGCTGTAGTGTGGTGTTGGCCTGCAGCCTCCAACAGGAGGTGAGCAGCGGGCAACTGAGCAAAGCTTCATCTGTACTGACAGCCGGTCCCCACTGCTCACATTACTGCCTAAGCTTAGCCTTCTGTCGGGTCAGTGGCAACATTAGATTCTCACAGAAGCTCAAACACTACTGTGAACTGCATGTGTGAGGGATCTATGTTGCATGCTCCTCATGATAATCTAGTGACTGATGATCTGAAATGAAGTTGAGCCACTCCTAAGGAGTGGCTGCAAATACTGATTAACACTAGCAGAGAGGCTTGATTGCACAGACCATAATAAATCAATTGCTTGCAGTCTCGTATGAAAACACTATCACTAGGCCTGCATTTGGCCTGGTGGTTAAGGTGCTGGACTCCTACACAGCCAACCATAGTATGAGTCCAGGACCTGACAGCTTGCTTTTTCATTCTCTCTCTCTCTCT